TTTTGGCAATTAGATCAGTTTTCAATTCAATTTGAATCGGTGTGCAATATGATTCACTGATAAAAATCGCTTCACTTGCCCCTTGTTTGACGCAATCGACACCTATTCTTTTCTGCGTGCCGACACAGGCACACAGTCCAGCTCAGTCACTCTCTCTCTCTCTGTTTCTCTTATTTCACGGCGCCATCAATTTTAAGCTTTCATTTCGTTACTTATCACCAAGCGGCTTATTTTTCTGGAAAACCTCTCACTTGCTCTCAAATTTCACATGACACTGACCAATCGTCGGTGATTAAGAGTGTGAAACGCTGTCAACCTTCAAGCGGGCGCGCGCCAAATATCGCCCTTTTGCTGATAACCGTTCTGAGCCGAAAAAGGGGTTGGTGAAAAGGGGGTTGGGTGATAAAAAATAGAGAGTTGACTGATTAGCAGTGCCACTTTATTCGTTATTACTCGAGTGCATAAACAGGTCTACTTGACTTGTTCTCTCCTCCAGTTGTACTAACATCATCCTATCAATAACTAACATCAACATGGCTGCTGCTTACTGTATGTACCGTACACCAACTTAGAACTGCAAATGACAAAAAATAAAATTATTCCAGGCGAGACCCAATTTCATGGTTTGAACCAGTTTGGATTTCCGTTCACAACTTTGAATACAAGTACGGAAGTTGTGAGTTTATGAAGATATCATACCAAATGCACACAGTACATTTTCAGATTCTTCTTCACCAATGAACGGAGCTGGCTCAGTTGGTCACCGATGGAATTCTCTGAGCCCGGAGCCCCACTCGGGAACCGAATCTACTGCTAGTACTCCTTTTGTGAAAGCGAGTTTCCATTTGATGATGATCTTTTTGGCATCGACCAGGTTTGTGTTTTTTCTTGCCTTTTTTGGGTGTGGTGTTGCCGTTAATTATTTTATGGGTGCTCTAAGAAAAAAAATGGGAGAAAAACGATTTGATTGAAAGGTGGTAGTTGGAAGAAATTGAAATTAGGAAATAGTATTTGAGAAAGGTTTTCAAAAAAAGACACGTCATTTTTTTGTCGTCCTCCCACTGATTCATAGTACTTGTTATTGTTTTTCGATAAATTTTCAGTGTCGGTGCAAATGGTCAGTATGGGTATTGCTCCAAAAAGCAGTCTACAAAATTATTTTGAAAGAATTTCCATATTTTTTTACTTGTCGTCGGCTCTTTTCCATTTCTAAATTATTTCTTAATTCTAATTATTTTTCTTTTTCTTTTTCCATTTACGGTAAAGCACGTGTTGCGCCATTTACGTCAATGGGTTAATAGATGATAAGACTTTTTTGAGTGACTTTTTTTGCAACATTAGAGACAAGAACACAATGTACAATAAGGTAAATTTCAGGTAAACAACGTAAACAAGCAACATCCGATGGATATGTGTCACGTTCCAGTTCCACCTCTTGAATACAACCGAAGATTTGCAAAGGACGCTGATGGCACCTCATTTGTAAAAAATGAGATTGAAGGTGGGCTTACTGTAGATGGAATCTAGAATACATGGATTTTCCATTAGTCACATAATAAATTATTCGCATTCAAATTTACGACCAACATTGATGTCAATCATAATTTCGGTTTCGTTGTTTTCCTCAATACGACCTGCGACTTCCTCCTTTTTGATCCCAAATGCTTTTCCTCATTGGAAAACATCTCATTGCGCCGGGGCGGGCATACTTTTAGAAAACACGTTTTTGTCTCGATTAGGGTAGTTAGGCACAGGTCAGCTTTTCCCAATCTGACGGCACGCTTGGATTGACCAGTGAAAGTTTTCAATGTTTGTTGTGTCTGCGAATAAAAAAAGTTCTAATCGGGGTCACTTTTTATACTGTAAGCAATCGACGGAGAGGATTAAGAAATGACACTTACTGAAATGACAAGTGTTATGAAAAAAGAAAAAGTGAAGAGAGAACGAACGATACTAGGTGTATATGGAAATGTGTCAGGGTTAAACAGTGCGGGTCATTAGCGGATGACCGACATGCATCGCCGCTTTTTGTTTCTCTTGTTTCTCTGAATGAAAAAGTACACCAATCAGCCAGAAAAAGTTTCAGAAAACATCCTCAATTTCAATGTCAACCCGGAGATTGCGCAAGACAACGGTCTGGACACCCAACAGATGGATATCTACAGGGATTTGATTCTTCGTCATCTCATCCAGGATATCAGCACGACGTGTGCCAAACTTGGCCTTCCCACTGACTTCTATCTCTGGACACCAGAGCACGGAGCTCGTTGGATCAACGAAATGTGCCAACAGTTCACTCTTCAACCTCCCCGAAATTGTTTTGTCACCGGTCGTGTTCTGCTCGGAATGAGTCAGAAAGACTTTGAAATGTTTTTGCCGGAGGGAGGAGACACCTTGCACGCCCAGCTCCAAGTGTGGAAGACCGGTACGTCAGATTACGTGAGGAGAGAAGAAAAAAACGTGATGAAATCATAAATCACGCCCTTCCTTATCACTTTACGAAACGTCAATCCGTATTAAGAATTCCTTTTTCAGCCTTCGAATCTTATCATCCACCAGCGACAATGCAAAGTTCTGGAATGACCGCTGCCGACAATAACATGCAATCCAAAACTAATTGGGTATGTTAATAGTCCTCCTCCCGCCCGGGAGCAACTCTTTGTGTCTGCATATTTGCTCAATGCGTTTTTGCGTTTTTTTTTCATAAAGCCTTCTCGTATTTTTAGATGGCCAACACCAACAATCAAACAAATACCATGGCAGCTGGCGAAAACCCGGCTCACCAATTCTTCAATGGAAACGGTAAGACAGACCGGAAGGAATGCGAATTGATAAAAACGAATTATTTATAGGTGGGTATCCAAACATGTCGATGAGCGGCTTCTTCCAACAAGGAACTGTCCTGCCGTCGCCAAGCAACAGCGACACAAGCAGCAATGGAAGCAGTCAAGACAGTATGTGGAACAAGGGATTAAACATTTTAACTAATTGGAGTTTTTCAGTGAATGACGATGATATGGACATCCACATGAATACTCCAAACTGTGGACTATCCAACTTCTTCCATCCAGGTTATATGAACTCTCCACTTGACTCCATGTGCAATGGAAGCGAGGGAGACGATGATGACCGTGCCTACACTCGCCACCAAGGAACTGTCCATTTGTGGCAGTTTATCCGCGAGCTTCTGGATCAACCGAAGCAATACAGCAACTGTGTCCGATGGGTCGACAGAGACGAGGGAACGTTTAAAATTGAATCTTCCCTTCTGTTGGCTAGATACTGGGGGCAACGAAAAAACCGTTCACAAATGAATTACGATAAATTGTCTAGAAGCCTTCGCCAGTACTACAAGAAAGGTAATTGAATGATTTTATAACGTGGATAAAATCATTGATTTTCAGGAATTATTCAAAAGCCAGAAAAGAAGCAACGTCTGGTCTACAAATTTCTACCTCCTTACAACATGTAGTCATCCGACTAGACAGACCTATTATCTGTGTATTTCGTTTGTTGCGCAGCGCGTGAAGTTCATGCGTTTCCTCTCTTAATCCCCAGTTGTACATTCTGTCCGGTCCAGTGTGGTCCCAATTCCCGATATCTGTGATACAAGATATACTTCCATGTACTGTTCGTTGTAGAACACTCTCTTTGTTTTTCGATTGTATTAATCCCAAATGTCAAAATATATTTAATCCAAGTTCTTTAATTGTTTTTATTTTGGGAATTTTCAAAAGTATTACTGTATTCTATTATTTCCTGTCCGAGCGCGTAGTTCAGATGTCTGAATGATTGTCTCACTTGCTATTATATTTATTCTTGCAATGTATACCGGTTCGAAACCGTGCAATGTTGTACTTTGGCTTTGTCCCCACCCCATCCAGTCCTCTCGAAACCCCTTCTCTCTCCCGAATACTTTACCAAAAATAACGGCTCATCATCTATTCACCAGTGACAACAAAAAGAAAAAGCGTTTTACTGTCTTGAATTGAACTGTATTTATTTTTTCTAAATTTTGATATTTTTCCGAGATTTCTATTATTATCGTATCAAGTCCACATTCCACGTATTCTCTCTTTTTCTCCCCACCCTAACTTTAATATATAGCCTAGATATATCCTCCCCCAAAGAGTTTGTATTAAAACAATGTATAGTCCCAGTGTTTTCGTGTTTTCCGCCCTTTGAACATTTTGAAGATTCATTGTGCAATAATCTTATCAAAAATTGTATAAATTATGAACGTATTGAATATATATTTTTTTTTGAATTATTAAGTCTTCCAGAGCAATTTAAGGGTATGAGATTTCAAAACAGACATACAAGTAAAAAATGTTAGCATTATTATATAAACTGTTATCAATATCATAATAAGTCAACCCAAATAATTCATCGCTGGAAATGTTGGTTGTGATACCGGCGGCTGAAGAAGCGCTTGCTGCTCGACAGTTTGCTGAACAAGTCCAAAGGTCTCGAATCCGGTCGGGTAGAACTGCTAAAGAACTATAGGTTATTACGTCAATACGTTTTCGGAGAGCTACCTGTCCATTTGCATTATCAGTAATTGGCATTTGCTCTCCGACTGTGAAATAGTTTGGCTGTTGAAGAAACCCTGGAATGTCACTTTTTCTGATGATGGACACAAATTGTGCTTGCGGTTAGGAATATAACGGTAAACATGGCTGGAAATCGAAGAACAGGGTCGACTTTGGAGCATGACAATTAGTTAGGAAGGTTAGATGAGAAATCGTGAAAATAATGTATTTAAGAAGAGAAGCTGAAATTTCAAAAATTTTGTTAAAAAGTATTTACAGTAATGGTCAATGAGATACGCAAAAACGTATTTTTTAGCTGATTTTCGTTCATTTTGACCAATATCAAAAGTCAGGAGCTTGGCTGTCAAGCTTTTGCTCAGTTTTTAAATTTCGTAGGGTTGTGAACTAGACCTAGATTGAGTTGAGAAAGTTGCATTCACAGAATTTTCAAAATGCCTAATTTTTTACCTATTTGCCAATTTCTGAAAGACACCTCCTTTTCGGCCCAATTTTTCAATCAAAAACGTGAAAAAAACAGGTTTTTTTTCAAAAATCGACAAATAGCTAAAAAACTGAGAAATCTCAAAAAAGTCTGTAAATGCCAAGTTTTCAATCTATGTAAGTCCTTTTACACCCTTCAAATCATTCAAAGTGGTTGGAAAATAGACAGCCAAGCTCCAGGCTCCTGAAAATGGTCAAAATGAGTGAAAATCAACTGAAAAAAGGTTATGTATGAAAAAGGTCCGAAAAACCGAAAAAATCGAAAAATGCTTCAGCGCGTCTTTTTCAACGTGAAGTTATAGAAACGATTGAAGTAATACATTTTTTTTTTGATATCTCGTTAGTAAAAGAGCACACACCTGTTAGTAATAGCTCACCACTCGAATTATTGATTACGGTAGGTTGAACGCTAGGAATCATCATTGCTTGCATTGCAGGATTCACCAATGGCAAATTCAGAATTCCCGGATTCACTAAATTGGTAGATGCAGCAATTGCTGCTTCTGTAGCAGCATTCTGTTCTTCCAGTTCTTTTTGTCTTGCCTCCTCAGCAGCAACCGCAGCGAGTCGCTTCTTCTCTTCTTCCTCACATCTCAGAGCTTGTTGTTTCGAACGGATCCGTTGATTCCCAAACCAATTGTTCACCTGCAACACTAATCCATATTATATGTATAAACAAAAAAACAACAACACATCAAGTTAATCTTCAGAAGTTCATCTCTAGTCCCGTATTAGTACATATGTGTTTCATTCATTCAGATCTGGCTGTATTTAAAGATCTCTGGCTAATGCTGGTCACATAGTTTCTGTTGTCAACTATGTATTGTTATTTACAAATCAGTCTCGTCAACAACATCAACGCCGACGCACTGATGTTTAGAAAAGTTTGATGATATCGAGAATGAGGAACGGATCAAGAGGTGTTGTGTATTTTATTTACATCTGAAGAAAAAAGAATGCTATTTTTGTGTCCTGTTATTCAAAAAATCGGATTGTGTCCTATCAAAAAGTGATATCAAATCTTGCACATATCAAAAATCATGTTTCTTTGAAAAGGTCGCTGCTGATTCTAATGATCTTATGAAGTCTGGAAAAAATCCCCAACGTTCGCATATTGGAGAAAATATTGTTGTGCACAAACTCCACTTTTGTCAAACGATGATTTCAGCTACACTACCCTAACAAGATTTTATTTTTTCTGTAGTCCTAATCGGCTCGGGATAGTATTTCCTCGGTTATCCCATCATCGCGTTTTTAAACTTCGACGTCAGTTTTCTTCTCTCTTTTTAATGCAATTTGTGCTGATTCACGAATTGTTTTCGAACGGATTCGATACATTTTGAACATCACACACCTATCACTAATCATACATTTGATCTTACCTGCGAAATTTTGATATTACATTGTTTTGCTAATTCGGCTTTTTCCTGGTCGGTGGGATACGGGTTTTGGCGATGCTCGTGGAACCAGTTCTGCAGAGTATCCGTTGTGTTCTTGTCGAAATTGCGTCTCTTCCGGCTGGAAAAAGTTCAATGTGAGGTTTATCGAGATCTTTGTCCATCATTGTTTTGCAAAAAGTTTTATCTTAGAGTTCGTGCTCGCTGTTTTCATAATCGTACAAACCGAAATCTGATTCGAAACGCTGTCTGAGTTGTCGTGAATGGAAATCATTCTTGCAATTCGATCTCCCCCTCTCCTTCCCGGCACCCGTCCCGTATCGATTATTCGCTAACTTTTTGCCATCATCGCCATGTCTGCCATGGCGCCTCCGGCCAAGAGGAAATTTCATTCGAGCCTGGACTCCGAGCCTCTACTGTTCTCTCCAACAGATCCTGCACCACCTCTCTAGTTCAATCTTTTTCGAATTATAAAGCTACTATTTTGAAATACAATACACTAGACGTCGTCTTTTTCGATTTCCGCAAAGCTTTCGACCAGGTACATCATCAACTTCTCATCCAGAAACTTGCTAGCTTTGGAGTCCCTAAATCTTACGTAGCTTGGTTCTCCTCGTTTCTCTCTGGTCGAACGTTCTCTGTCAAAATCTATGATTTTATTGGACCCCCTTCCTCTGTCATTCCCTCTGGTGTTCCTCGAGGATCAGTCTCTTACTATTTCTCATATTCATCAATGATCTGCTCTTAGAACTTGAACAAATCCCTTCTCTTCACTGCCGCCTTTGCTGATGATATCAAATTGTATTCTCATGACCCAATTGCCCTTCAAACTGGTATCAACATGGTTGTAAATTGGGCTACCGCCAACCATCTCCCTCTTGCCCACTCTAAAACTGCCCTTCTTCGCCTAGGTTCCCATAATTCTTCCCATCCTCTCAATATTGCGGGTGTCACACTTACTCCCTCCTCCTCCGTCCGGGACTTGGGACTCATTACTGATTCCTCTCTCAAATTCTCTGCTCACATCAACAAAATCACATCTTTAGCTCTTCTCCGTTTCAAACAACTCTTAAAGTCATTTAGATCTAAATCTCCAGAATTCTACATTCATCTTTTCAAATGTTATGTTCTCCCAATTCTTGAATATTGTTCTGTAGTTTATTCCCCTCCGCCTTCTTCTCGCCTTGCTCTAAAACTAGAATCTCCCTTAAGATTTTTCTCTAAGTGTATTTTCCAGCGTTGTAATATCCAGTACAGTTCCTATTCTGATCGTCTCTCTATCCTCAATATGTTCTCCATTCGACATCGTAGGCTAAAAGCTCAATTAATTCTTCTCTATAAATTTTTAAATGGCTTCGCCTACTTTCCTAACCTAAATGCACATGTCAAATACTCCTCCTCCCCTCGTCGCCCTATGAACTTCATTATTGTTCAGCCCTACTCCTCTGACTATTTTTCTTCAATTGTTCCCCTGTGGAACGCCATCACTTCCCAAGTTACCCGATTTCTCCTACCTTCCGAGTTTGAATCCTTAATTCCTTCCAGTATTACCCGTTATTGATATATTTGCTCCCTATTTTTCTTTTTCTACCGGTTACATCTTTCCTGTGTCAAATATCTTAATTATCCCGTTTCCCCTCCCCTACTCAGATAGGCCTCATGAGGGGCATTTTTTCTGAGTCTTTCATGTCCTGCCCTCTAATATTTCATTACACCTGATCAATAAACAAATTAAATTAAATTAAATAAAGTCTCAACAAGTGGGTGTTCATGATCTCAGCCTTTTTCTCAAATGTAAAAATGGAACACTGTCTCAAAACATTTTTTTTCGTGCTTCCTACTCAAAATCTTGAAAATCCTATTCAAGCTACTGAATTCTTGCCAACTTATATTTCATGTAGGTTTTCACGGAGAATGTCTCTAGAGGACCGAAGATATCATCTTGTTATTCTTTTCTGACCCCCGGGTTGATGTTGGGACTGTGTCATAGTTTGTCTAGTGAATGTTTTGGAAGTATTTTGGCAAATGCCGAGCTACGTAGCGTCTGGTATGGTATGACAATAAAAGTAGGCTGAAAGTATTCAGATGAACAGAAACTAATTTTTTCAGTTCTTAAATTAACAATTATAAAGCGAACGAAATTTAAATTTAGTCGTGAATTTTGTTCTGATCGCCTCCGGAACATTGCTTAATTCGTTACTGCATCTTCAATGCTCAACTGAATACTTGTATGGTTTTTATTCCAGTTTTCAAAAACATAGCCTGACAGAATACAGAATGTTTGCTAACATGACAAACGTTCTGTTAGTTGCTGATTGTTTAGTACACTGATTAATTACCGTATTTTCTTAAATAGAATGTTATCTCAAGTTTTTATTTTGACCTAATTATCTCGATTCTTATAAAAATTATCACGCTCTTGTCGACTACTGTTTTCTTTGAGCCTATCTACCTTTTTTACCTTTGTTTTTTATTTCGACTGTTAGATAGGAAAAAATCTATGAATATTGTCTAAAAAGACTAAAAAATACGGTAGTACGCTTTTGCGCCTGAAAAAATTGAAGAGGTAGCTCTCAATGTGCTTTGATTTTGGACTACAGTAATATCCCCTACGCCTTATCAATTAAAAGATTTTTGACATCTTTGACATCTTATGGACCGAGATTATGGCGACCAAAGTGCAAGTATAAAGGTGGCTAGGAACTTCTGTATACGAAAACTCTAAGTGTGACATCTTTGTGATGGTTTGTTATTCTCACAAACCCCAATGATTGCAACAACTCAAAAAATCTGACTTGATATTATTGTTTTTATAATGTCTTTACCCTTGTTGCTCGATATCCCTGCGGAGGACCAGAATCTTTGTCGCTGCTTCTCCACGAAGACTGACTTTGGCCTGATCGAAATGTCGACTGATGCTTTGCCTGATGTTACAGTAGTCCTGTAAGAAGACAATTTTAATACAGATCAAAAACTTTCAATATCTTGATCCGTATATATTTCTTCCTTTTGCTTCTCAAATCCTACTTTATGGGGAAAACTGTGTCTGATTATTTTGCAGTAAACCTCTGGAATCTCGGATTGTCGTGTAAATAAGAATTTCACTTGCAATGTTCAACCGTGACGTTGCGTTCATACGATGTTTGTTTCTTGCTCGTTAAATATTTTCAGAACATCTTAGCTTATCGTGTTTTGTGTTGAGCCGTTTTGTTGAAGCGCGGAAGTAATGTCATTCACGTAGTTTTAATCCGAAACAAACATTTGATTTTTTGGCCATTTTGATCATCCTAAACTCTTGATATTTTGTTTTTTTTCCATTTTTTGTAGATGTTTTTGTATCAAATCCACAACGGAATTGAAACAAATAATTGTTCGAGCAGTTGAACTGGGAACTCGCGTCGTGAGTATTTATAAGGATTACAGTAGGTTGGCGCCAAACAATTGAGCTAAGCTTTTCGAAAGGATAAAATTCAAGACAACAAAACTCGTGTTGTGTTTTTATCCCATTCTTCAGCACCTGACTTTTCCACTTCTGGATTACTAATCCCAATTATTTTCCCAAAAACACCTCGCTACAGACTGATCGGCCTGATCTTTTTTCCTGAACTCACTCTTTCATCAACTGGCCGAAAATCGCGGTGACTTCTGAGCACCTTCTCTCCGTGGGTCAACGATTGCTCCATGTCCTGAAACATGATAAACATTCTGAAAATAGTGACAAAGAGAAATCCGCTCTAATAACCAAAGTCCCTTAAGCAAGGCTATCCCAGCTTTCCGAAAAGCAATCCAGCATTTCATTAAACTTGATCTAGCATGATGACATATTCATTGACAGGCGTACTATCCTGTCACGTCTGTTGGATTCTCAGGATGAGAGTGCCGGAAATCCGACTTGGCATTCAATGCTGTCATATGCCAATGATCCCTCTAGAACGTTCAAGGACAGTTTTCTGATACCTTTTCCAATTGTCCTTGTTTTAAAAGCATATCCTCCTTGATTTGATTTACACCATCCAAATATTTTTTCTCCAATGGTTGCCACTCTTCATCTTTTTCTGTATTCACTTCTTCGATCGGGAACGTCGGATTTTGAAATTGAGCCTGTAAGATTCGCGAGAAATTCTATTTCCTTCATGACGTCTATTTTGATTACTAAGAGTGCTATGTGAGTAACTCTAGAGTACATTGTTTGTGACTTTTGAAAGTCATCGTAGTCCATGTGTAAACTTTTAACAATACTACTCATAGTAGTACTACTCATCTATTTTGCAGAGAAAAAATGAGCTCATCAGAGTATTTTGTATATAAAAAGGAAGTGGTCTAAAATCTTCTAAAACTAGATTCTACAATCTACAGTTTATTTTCTCGTGTTTAGAATTAGCATTTAGCAGGTGTAAATATTAAAGTCGGATTTCACAGACTCATCCAACCATTTTGAATGATTTAAATTGTTTTGAATTGGTTGTTTCTAGTATTCCATTTTTATAAATTTGTTTCTTTCCTCACTCACTAGGATTTCCTCAATCTCCGTCGACGGTTCCTCTGTATCGAACATAACCACCATGTTCATTCTGGAGCCTACAACTAAAATTAATTTTTGATGCATTCGTCGCATTTTTAAATTTGAATTTATGTGTCGTTGAAACTAGATAATCTTTTAGTGCATCCTTTCGGAATTTCCGCTCGATGAGCTAGCTATATCCTAGCCATTAGTTTTTAATTCCGTAAAAGACCGCCGGATATGGTTGCGACCTTTCATGCAACTTATGTTTCTAATTTTTAATATTTTCCGCTTACGTAGAAGATCCTTCCTCTCGAGTAATACTTCGTGAAGCGTTCGTCGGTACGGATTCATTTCCACGCCTTTTCTGCAAAACAGTGTCTAAATTATTATTTAAATAACAAAATTAACAAATTTTTTGAGTTGTACTCCCACAAGGTCTCTGTGGGATGGATTTGTAGCCTTAAGGGAGGCAAACTTTTCCTGGATTCAGAATCCGTGAATCACGCACCACATCATTTAAATGTGAGACTACTTGTATAGGGAATTGTAGTTCAAACGCCCAGATATTTTGATATTTTTCCTAGCAGATCTGACCTGTTTCTGGAAAAGAACTAGAACGCCCACTTGTAAATCTGTATAAAAGACTAGATTTTATGAAATTCAAATTTGTATTCATTTAAATATTTTTTCTAAATTCTTTGAAACGTGAGTTACAGTTTTTTTCCACCCATTTCCTTTTCTATGACTTTCGTAATCCAAAAAAAAATCACAAACCATAGGTTTATATTTATTTCCAGACATGATCTAGATCAGGAAATGTAGATCCTAACAAGTTTTGAACAAAACAGCACCTAGTATTGAAATAAAACACATTTTGTGTCGTGTGTGTCATATATCTCAATTTCTAAACTTTTTTCTTTTTCAAATTGGACGGATCAAACTCACGCGATCGTATTACGGTCGACGTTATCAGTGGAAACTGCTTTGTGAAGTTGCTTCATCAGCTCATCCATGATAAGAAGATCAAGTGAGTTGTAGTAGGAACCTTAATAATATTTTGATGTGTCGAATTGGTTAGGATTAAAAATGCAAAATGCAAAAAGACACGGAACAAAATATAGGCTACTGTACTCCAGCCAGTAATAGGTTTATTTGATAGAGAACGATATTTGTAGTGCAAATACAATTCTATTGGATTACTGTCACCCTTTCGCCTACCTCCCCCCTGTCGATCTGATATTTTGAGATCCAATTGTGTTGACTCATTACGTGATACATCAATAAGCCGAGGCCGACACTTATTCTCTAGCAAACACTTCTGTCAATTAAGCACTAATCTTGAGGCACAAAAAAGGAAATAGTATTTAAATTGACATCTATTTAAAAAAGCGAAAAGAAACATGAGAAAGCAATGAAAATCTAAAGTTTTTTGAAGGGAAAGCAAGCAAAAAAATCAAAAAGCCACGCAAAAAACTACTGATAAAAAACATGAAAGAGTTATTGAGCGAGAGTTTCTATGTTCTTCTAGAGCATGTTACACGTTACTGATAACGGGTTCCAAAATTGTTGCGATTTAATATTATGGCAAGTGTCAATTTCGGAAACCTTGTTCATTTATTGGTTTTATTAGGTTCAGTTGTAAAGCATGTGAACACTACAGTATTTCACTGAATGCACGCATCCAATGGGAATTAGAAAAGTTTTTGAAAGCTCTAGTTTTGTAGTGACAGAACTTTGATTCGAGTTGTATAAATGATCTTCACTCCCATGCTAATTACTCGAGTGTAAATATCACGGTAGATTAGTTTTTTCTTCTCATTCTCGTTAGTAGAATGAGAATTTGACATTTTAAAGAATTGCTCAAGCACACTTGCTATACTTTGCAATATTTTTTTCCCTGTTGCCCAACACAAGTAGGATTTTGATAGTTATGTTTTTGCACCAAATTGCACTGGAATTCGGATAGGATCAGGAGAGATTTGAAATCAGATAATGTTACTCACACACCCTGCGGGCAAATCCAACGGAACTTAGTGAGAGTTATGGTATGACATATTGTGTTGTGCTCTACTTTTTTTTCCTGTTCTCCCGGGCTACTGTACCCAATGAGAATCGTGTGTTTTGTATTTGTTTTTTTTTCACTCTCTGCGAGAGTCACATATGTGACAGGACCAACATTCTCACTCCGGCTTGATCGGTAGGTTACATGATGAAATTTTTTTCACGTGTGTCAAGCAAAATCAAACGTAAAACTTGTACGATAGAAAGAGTGGCAAAGCACAAATCACTCCAGAAAGAGGAGGCGACAAGATGAAAGATATCAATTGAGAACGAATCAAAATAAAAATCGAGTGTTGTTTTTTTTTTGATGGGGGGGGGGGGTGTCTCTGTGTTCACAAAAAACAATTTAAAAAGTTTTTCCTGTTGCACAGTCACCTGTTTTGTCTATCTGGACGCTAGGGGGCTCACGAGGTGCTTTTTGTTTTGTCTGACCACTGTTAAGGGTTACTGTAGATATGATCAAAGACCATTTTTTAGGCAGGGATGCCCCACTTTCGAAAGTCGTCGTTCTTTCAAAATGCATTCTTTATTTTGTCGGTTCCCTTTTTTTTTAAGTTCTCAATTTCGATTCTCTAGGAACATGTTCGTAATTGGTTTTTATGCTCGATATTCTGACGTTGACTTTGTAAATAAAAGTTCAACATTTGAACTTGTGTTTATTTCCTCTTGATTTCTTCTTACTTTTTTTTCGATCTGTTTTCTTCTACCGGTAAATCTGGAATCATTATTCATAATTGAGTATTTCTTGTTTGACTTTTTCTTCTGTTCTCATTTTAAAAGAACATATATGATCAAAATACATAAGCAGAAAGGATTTCTGCAGAAATGACAGGCTTGGACCACCCCTGATCTGTCGGTTTCAGCCGGATTTCAATCTGAACGCATTTCGAATTCACCAGGATTGAAAGATCTTTCACTTTCCAGTTGAGTCGGTATGTAGTTATTCATTTTTAGGTTTCGCTCTATGAAGTTTGAAAAACCTTGACTTGGAAAATTTTTTGACTCAATCTGCTAGACATACTTTGATCTTCTCAGCTTTTTGTTGATAGTTTCAGATTATGTTGTCTTCCCTGTCTATCATTTTCATCTTCTCATTCGGACTAGAGTTCTTTTCCAAATCCGTCATTTAATTAACTACGTATCTTCTAAACATCATGGATCATAGAGCAATATAAAGTGGATAAAAATGAAAACATTGTGGGTTATTTTTACCATAATTTCAGTCATATAATATTTTCATTGTCTGTGACATGGAATGTTGGTCCCAATTTAGATACATCTATTATTAGATTAGACGCTTGTTCCTTTTCATTTCAACAACTTCCAATTTTATTCACTTGGCAGTCTGATGTCATAAATTTGACCCACTGACCTCTCGGCCCACTCAATTATTTTTGAATTTGTTCAAAAGTTTTTTGAAATTTTTCTTTTGGTTTTGGCTTTCAAAGTCACTTCTGTTTGCTCTTCATGTTTTCGGAATGCCATCAAAAATGAAATCTCGAATACCAACTCATATGATCACTGTGATATTTTTCTATTGGAATCCTCTGAAACTTTTCGGTGTTGTAAATTTGTTCCGGGTGTTTGGTATTGCTATTAAAAGCGTTTTTATGCATGACTATTTATTTTGATACAAAAATTGGATTTACAAGAAACGTTTCAAGAATTAAGAGCATCCACAGCAGGCGTGGACTCCGTTCCAGTAGGCTTGAGTTCCGCCGTTGTGGCATCCGCGTGGTCCTCCGTTGTGGTTACGGGCCATGATCTAAAAATGTCAAAGATTGTGTTTTTTTATTATTTGAACAAAAATACAACGAAAAGTTATTATGTGCTTAAAACTACGTATTATCGTAGCCTTTTTTGATTTTCGATCCGTTTTTTTTGTCTTAAATTGCTTTATGCATATATACACAAAAAAAATAATAGTCGAACGTGACACGGCGTTTGTAATTGGCAAAGGAGTCAAACCGTTTTGTAGTCCACTCTTTCTTGCTGCTTTCGTCAGAGTCGTTTCGAAAAGCTAGGTGGACATGTGAATTTTTAAGTAGCTAAATGTTATATACCCACTTGTATCCCATGGAACGTTTTACGTCAGTTGGGCTTTGTACAAGTTAAATTTGACCTTTTCAACTTATTCTCATAAAATGTCACTTGGTCAGTTGACATTTACTGGTCAAAATGGGTTCTAAGAAATTTGGTTTTTCGTTCCTCTCTTTTTTTTTCATTCCTTGAACTCCCAAAAAATGCCACCGATTTTGATTCTGCCATTTTTCAGTTTTAATGTTAGGTTAGAAAAAATGAGACATGTTCTTAGTCTATCATTTCAAATTAAATAGACCAGGAAATTTTGATTTCTTAGATTCTTAAACTACATTTTTCGAAGAAAATACATGTCAGAAAAAGAGGCGTTACTGATCATATCACAATTGAATGTTGCCTAACTTTTTCTGACCCCATCACTTTGTATGGTGCTTCTTTGATACCGTGATTAATTCAAAAATCAGAAAATGGCTGGGCAACCTCCGCTGAACAACTAGACACACCCGCCCCTCAAAACTTCGGATTGTATCCTCGAAATACAAAATTCGCTACTAGAAACAACAACGTTTTTTTGCGTAGGCGAGAATCTTTACCTGGCAGGCTCCCATTCCGAGTCCGTTGCACTGGCTCTTGTAACGGTTGTAGTAGTTCTGAAAAAAAATTTTTGATTTTTAGAGTAGAATGTTCTGAATTTCCATGATTGGCGTTTTTGTTCAAAACCAACTTGATTCGAAGAATAGAAAAGCTTCTAACGCTTTAGCGTATTCTGTCATAATCTTGGTTTTTAGGTATCCATAACAATAAGTACTTTTTGTTGGTCTCTATTTCATTCTCGCAATGCAAATCTATTAATAATGTTTTGCCTCAAGCCAGAATGTGCATGTTTACGTTGGGATAGGTTATTTTTGTGATTTCCTTCAGATCATTGTCTCAAAAATTGTTTTTCTTATCACGGAGATGTGTGTATTCAGTTCCTATTAAAAAATTGGGAATTCTAGGCTATGACGTGATAGACAATTAGCGCTTAGATGATGCCACCACACCCTCACAATTTGCAAAATTTTCTCTATCCCAGGTGGGCGCGAAAGAAAAAACACGTAATCCATGGGCTAAATTAGGAGTCAAGTTCGCCAGCATTTCTCATTTCCTAGAGTGATCTACCAGATGACGGGATCCTCTTGAGGATCAACCATTAGGTATATGCTTTAAATAGGCGACATTCTATCCGGAATTTGGAGATTTTACGGATTCAAGCTGCTCCTCCTACTCGGATCAGCTGTGAAAGCAGAATTTCGTGACTTTTGCAAACCAGCTTGCTTTATATTTGGGTACATACCTCGACGCAAGTGGTTGAGCAGCTGAGATCGTCAGCGCATCTCTTCCAGGCGGCTTCAGTAGATTCTCCAGACTTCTTTCCTGGCTGTCCGCAGTCCTCGTAGTATCCGATCTTGATCTTAAATCAAAAAATATGTTTTTTTCTGCTTTTCGGCGCTGATCGTATGCACCCCGTTTTCTAAGATCATTTTCAATATAACCGGGTTCAACTTTTTGCTTTTTTTGCTTTACTTCTTCCGAGTTCTGACACCGGCTGTCTGCTCCAAGGAAGTATTTAAATTTCAGTGACCACTTTTTTTTCAATGTCAGTTTTTCTGTTGTTTTTTGTTTTTTTATTGCTAGCCTACTTTGTGGTCCTCAATCCGGTGTTAACCTTCTCAATGTTCTCTTCTTATCTTCACGAGCTAGCTCACGCAACATTAAACAAAATCAATTCTGTGCTCTTTATCATTCCAAATACCGCGTGTCTTCCAATATTTACATTGTGATGAATATGGCTATGTATAGCCAAACTATACTAATTGTCAATTTTCGATCTGCAGCTCAAAAGCAAAAAATGTTTAAGAGGCAATCTACC